GCAAAAGTTTTCTTAAAGTAAGATCAGGATAAGAAATTATTCTCTAAAGCCAATAAGAACACGTTATTGGTTTTTTGGAGAACCTGAATTTACCTCAAACTATATTTGACCAGAAATTCACTATGCCATTCACTGCCAATAGAGAGACAAGGTCAAAGGCCAAAGCTTCAACTGGGAAATCTCAAAGCACAGGATTTCACAGACTACTGTTGGATTATCTAATCTGCAAAATCATCCTACAGCATATTCCTCGTGTAAACCTTGAAAGTAAAAGATACAATACCTCTCAGACTACTTGCCAAATATCTTCTTTTCTGTTATAGTCACTTCTGGAATATTTATATGTGAAGTAAATATCAGAACAGAAAGATACATAGCAAATATGATGCTGAGCATCAGATGGAATGAGGCTTTGTATTTTATTAAAAGATTGAAGTTCTAATATGACAGAATGCTTCTAGGAAAAAAAACTTGTTTGATTATATCTGTCAGGCAAGACATTTCTAAAAAAAAAAGCAAACAAAAAACTTATTTTGACAATGCAACATAGACTTTATTCTTAGTTTACGTACAGAGCTGTAACTTTGTAAATAAGCCACTATGAAAACAGAATCAAAATCTACACTGTAAAATAATCCAAAATGATAAAAGTTAACACATAACTCCAAAGTTCCCCCCCCCCCAACAATCCATTTGGAAAAAATAAGAAGAGTATAATCCTTTTTCTAAGAGCTGGTCCTAGAAACAGAAATCTTCCCCATTCTTTTTCCAAAATAGTCTGCCGCTACAATCACATACTATCATTGCTTTATCCAATCACTCTGACTTTTCAGCAGTCACATACATTTACTCTTGCACACATGCGCAAAGTGTTGTGATATCCTAGTTCTTCCACATAATGACTTTATAACAGTTATTTTTATTACCTCTGTTTTATCAAGCCTCACAAGGAGGAGCCAGAAGTCTCCATTAGTTTTCAGAAGGGAAGGATTTTCTTTGTCTTTTTAGACAGAGAAAATTATCCAACAGCAACAGTGAGATCCTCATCTTTCATTCCGACATACCTGACCGCTGAATTCTGCCAGTGTGAACAATGTCCATCACGGAACATCAGTGCAGTAAATCTTCCACCCCAGAGAAGAAATAAAAGGTTGCAGCATATTAAACCTAAATCCAACTACGGTTGGATGTAAAGTTTTGCTCCCCCCCGCCCCCGCAACACCACAATGACAGCTCCTAATAAAGAGTATGAAAGGAATCTTGCACTCTAGATCAGTAAATGTGAAGTCCTAAGTTTCACATGTGACCGTAAGAGAAATGATATTTTATTCATCAATACTATGATCTCTATGAATTTTCAGTAGTCAAATACATGGCCAAAAATACCTGTTAAGAACAACTGTTCTGGCTCTTAGAGGGAAACATTCCCACAGTATTTATGGCAATACCATACTTACACTATTAAGTCTTCCTTAAGATAACTAACTTATTGAACAAAAATGGCATTTGACTGTCCAGAAGCAATCTCGGAACAAAACTGGAAAACAGTGGGAAAGCCACACTAGCAATCCTGTTGTAAGGACACAATACTTAGAGGTTTTAAGATACAAAATTGTTTACATTCCTTTTTTTCTCCAACCTGGCATTATTTCTTTAAGGTTACCTTTATAACAATACTTTTTTTTTTTTAATTAAGGTAAGAAGATGCCTGTAAACCCAGTAACATCTGAAGTACAAATGAGAAAACTTTTGCTGATCGTGTGTTTTATATTTCACATATATATCTTTGATCACATGCACATATACGCACATGCATGTATCTAAATCAAAGTTGCTTATACAGCATTAACTTATCTTTGGATTTAAGTCTCAATGGTTTGTGTTCTTCCTGTGTCTTAACCCTATCGAATAACGTTTTGGGGCACAAACATTTAGTGACATTTAGTGCCCGGCCTTGCCTGTTTTCTTCCAAGTACTGTATTTCATTGTTAATTTTAGATATTTCTGCAGTTCTTATTTGGACATCAAAGAGAAGCCCATGCACAAAATACTAGCAATATTTGAAATACAGGCTTCCCCACTTACTGTCATTTATAAATCGAGAAGAACTTTTGATTTCTTGCCTACAGGAAATACTGCGGATCTACAGTAAAGCACGCATATATGCATGGGCCAGGATTCAGGATAATAGATTGTCTGGAGATGTGGTTTTCAGATTTACAGATCTCATGTTCTGTCTGGTGCTTCACACATTTATTTTTTACTTTCACATCTGAAGCGCAGCAATATGGAAAGCTAAGGTGTATATTTAAGACATACTTTGAGATTTATCTATTCAGAAGTGAAATTCTCACTGGGTACGTGTCCTTAGAGCACTAAGGCACTGCATTACCACTGCTAACTGCACCGCTTAGTGATGGCTGGGGGCAGGGGAAGAAAGACACTCAAGAGCTCCTCTTTAACAATTCTGCCACCAAAGATTAAGATGATTTTCCTGCTTTCCAAACTTGCTAGAGAGTGTTTCTCACATACAAACAGAAAAAATGATGGTAGCTAGCATATCACTGAAATATGGCTGCCTGCTGCATGTGTTCTTAAGAACCTTGCGTATAGAATCAAAATTATTTAGAGTTTGTTCTCCTCTCTCGAATTTATTTTTTAATTAGCAAGTCATACAACTGTTCAAGACAAATGAGATATCCATTCTTTTCAAGTTTTCAGATGGTTTGCCTTGTTCTGTTACTACTCTTGTAACTATTCTCACTACATGTCTTATGTCTCATAACTAGTAGGATATAGAAGCACTCAAATAGATCTGTCAGCATTAAGATCCCGTTATTCATACCAGTATTACTAAAATTTAACCTTAGAATATATCCTCAGAGTATTTCCTTGCAACAGAACACAATTCTGTGCTCACAGGATTCAAGTCAAGAAGGAGATACATGTTTCTTGTGACCACATAATTCAGGATCCAACTTGCACAGAAACAGAGTAGTAGTTTAACTGAATTATTTAACCCGACAAGATCAAATCTTTGGACTTTCAAGTCTTTCTCTTTGCAACTGATAAGAGCTAATAGAGAAGAATATTCCACATTAAGTACTTGGTCAGCAATTGTTGCAGAAGCGTCTTATCTCAATGGATCTCTCAATCTGAAATAGAGTACTATATTGTATAAGCACACCCTGACCTTGTGAAGTCAAACAGTACAGCATGTAAATCACTTTAATAAGTTAGATTTGAGCTGCACACACAGTGAGGTATTTGAATACAGCAGATACTTCTGAAAAAAATACTACCCACCTCTACATTAGGTGGAGTAAGCTGTGATCATACCAAACAGCAGCAATTCAGTTTTTGCTAAAGTGGTTTATTCCTGCAGCCTTGAGTGAAAGAAAGTGCACTGTTAAAGTGCTGTTTTGACAGTAAAAATGTCTACCTAGACATTTTTGCCGGTGCAGCATATCAGTCATAGACCATAAGCCTCCACAGCTCTGATCAAAACAGTTATATAACAGCTAGCCTGCAGTGTAGATAAGGCCATAGGCCTAAAAAGCTCAAGACTCTTGGCTCTTCTTTCAGCTATGGACAATGTCAAACACTGCAGTCTTACGGTGTAGAAAACATTTATAAAAAGGCTAAACCAGGAACTTTGTTTTCCTATTCTCAAATTTTATTGAGCAGAAATGTTTGAGGATAGTTTATTACTTTAACCAGCCACTCAAAAAATGGGCCTCTGGCCAAACAGGACTTTGAAATATGTCTATATTTTGGTTTTAAAACAACATTAAGGAAGTTGTATAACTTTTACATTAGAGTCTAAGTGACTTAGCAGCCTAAATGACACGTTTCAGCTGCAACTTAGACACTTTGGAAACTACAACTACAGCAACAGCTGAACTCAGTATTGATCCTGATGTAGCAAAGCGGTTAGGTGTAGCAAGGGTTAATTAACAGGCTTTTGTAACTCCTATCAAATTCCACACTGTCACACTTGTACCCAAAACAGTTCCCAAGTTGGTCAACAGACAACCACAGCAGTATCTGCAGAGTACATCTCACTGAAAGTTTTACGCTAGGTTTAGACTTTTAATCACTATTTAGACACTACCTCATGCCTTATCTCTTTCTTATTATTTTGTTCTCTGCCACTTTGATGTGGCTCGCTATTTTTCCTTCCCATCCAGCTTATCCCCTCCCAACACTTCCCCAAAATGAGTGTTTGCTGGCATCCCATTAGTCACTTACGGGCCAAACTCCTTCCCTCACTATAAGCTATTTATTCAGGCTAAATTCTGTGGGACAGGGACAATCTACTACCTTGTTTTTGTGCTGTTCTTAACCTTCACAGGGCTTTACTGCCCTAGTATAAGCAAAATTAATGATAACTATTATAAAAACACTACCACAGTTACTTTAAATTGTACCTCCATCAGTGCAGAGATTAACTTTGTGTACTGTATTTGTAAAACCCCAACAACCCAAGCTGGGCAATGGGATAGTTTCTCAGGTTCTACAGTTTCTATCTACTGACCAACCAATAGACTGGCAAATCATTTAGAAAGATTATTATAAAGACTGAGATACTGCAATAGTAAGGATGGTCCTCTCCTTTATGTGCGATAGGGATATAAATTACAAAAAAGAATATTCAAAAAACAGTCCTTAATTTATCAAGATTGATTTATGTACTCTAGACTCACATCATATAAGCTTACATCAGAAAGTACTTTTCTAATGTATTTTACTATGTCTGGTCTTCCAAGAAAAAGGGAAGAAAAAAGAGGATGAAGCAAGAAGAATACATTCCACAATAGGTCTCGAAAGCTCCAATTAAAATTCAATATCGCATTTCGTATGGAGACTCCTTACATGAAAACCCTGTCATGGTTAAGATTTAAGGTTAGCCAGGTTAATAGAGTCCAACAGAATGCTCTATTTAATTATGCCAAAATCATTGTTACAAGCCACTCTAAAAATCTGCTACTCATCTTTACCTGACTATTGTGCTGAAATCTGAATCATGGCAACGCATATCTACTTCTCCAGCAGCAGAAAAATCCTACCACAAAGTATCTCCTGCAGGAGAGTTGCTCCTGCTCTCAAGCTCTTTCCTCCACTTCTTAAAAAAAGTGCAAGCATTTGCACCTCGAGTGATTTCGCTCCTCCAGTCTGCTACTCCAACCATCACACAGTCATGTGTTAAAAGATTTGTGCAGACCTGCCAAGTCTCATTCATTCGAGACACTTCCCCCAAGTTGGGATTCGTGCGCAAAGTGTATTTAAGCAGCTCCTCCACTATGGAGTCTTCCGTCACGTGACCTTTTTTTAGCTTAAAAGAAAAATACATAGACGGTTTTAAGTCTCTACCTTTTTTTTCCTTCTTGTCCTATAAAGCAATCTCACATTTATGTCAGTGCGAAGGTTATAGTTTTACGACTGTTTTTAAACCGGCATAACTATTTAATAGATAATCGTATTTTAATTGCTCTGCAGCAGCACCTGCAACGAAAGCCGGCTCCGGTTTTGCCAAACCTTTCGCGAGCGCTT